ACATGATCCTTGGGGTCCCTTCCAACCCGGGTGATTCTGTGATTCTGTGATTCTGTGAATGTCTTTCTTGTAGTGAGGGGCCCAAAACTGAACACAATACTTGAGGTGCAGCCTCACCAGTGCTGAGTACAGGGGATGATCACCTCCCTGCTCCTGCTGGCCACACTATTTCTAATGCAGGCCAGGATGCCGTTGGCCCTCTTGGCCACCTGGGCACACTGTTGGCTCACATTCAGCCGAGCATCAACCAACATCCCCAGGTTCCTTTCCTCTTCACAGTCATCCAGCCACTCAGCCCCAAGCCTGTAGCATTGCATGGGGTTATTGTGGCCAAAGTGCAGGACAGAATCACAGAATTGTAGGGGTTGGAAGGGACCTCCAGAGATCATCGAGTCCAACCCCCCTGCCAAAGCAGGTTCCCTACACCAGGTTGCACAGGTAGGCATCCAGGCAGGTCTTGAACATCTCCAGAGAAGGAGATTCCACCACCTCCCTGGGCAGCCTGTTCCAGTGCTCCGTCACCCTCACAATAAAGAAGTTCCTTCGCACATTTGTGCAGAACTTCCTATGCTGCAGTTTCCGGCCATTTCCCCTTGTCCTGTCTCCACTCACCACTGAAAAGAGTCCATCCTCACCACTATGGCCACTACACTTCAGATATTTATAAACCTGGATTAGATCCCCTCTCAGTCGTCTTTTCTCAAGGCTGAACAGACCCAGTTCACTCAGCCTTTCTTCGTAGGAGAGATGCTCCAGGCCCTTCACCATCTTTGTGGCCCTCCGCTGGACTCTTTCCAAGAGTTTCCTGTTTTTTCTGTACTGGGGAGCCCAGAACTGCACGCAGTACTCCAGATGAGGCCTTACCAGGGCAGAGTAGAGGGGGAGGATCACCTCCCTCGACCTGCTGGACACACTCTTTTTAATGCACCCCAGGATGCCATTGGCCCTCTTAGCCAAGAGGGCACACTGCTGGCTCATGGCCAACCTGTCATCCACCAGGACACTTAGGTCCCTCTCTGCAGAGCTCCTCTCCAGCAGCTCATCCCCCAGCCTGTACTGGTGCATGCAATTCTTCCACCTCAGGTGTAAGACTCTACATTTGCTTGGACCTGGCACTTGGCCTTGCTGAACCTCATCCCATTCACCTCAGCCCAGTGATACAGCTGGATCGTTCTCAAGGGCCTCCCTACCCTCAGGCAGACCAATACCACCTCCCACCTTGGTGTCATCTGCAAACTTTCTGAGGGTTCACTCGATCCCTTCATCTAGGTCATCATTAAACAAGATGGGCCCCAGTACTGAGCCCTGAGGGACACCACTTGTAACGGGTCACCAGCTGGACTACTACCCCTTGGGCATAGCCCTCTAGACAGTTCTTTACCCAGTAAAATGGAAGGCATTACTTCCACAGCAGTCGTCAAGCATTTAATCCACTCTTTGGACTTAAATTCTCTGCTCTCAGAATTCCTCAAGGCCCCATGATTCAGCTACCACTATCAATTCAAGGTAAACTACAAGTACCAAGCATCTTTAGGTTTTCAGCAAGGATCACAAAACTGAAGGTGGTTTTGGATGACTTTATGTATCCTTCTTACACAAAGAAAAATTCCCGTAACATTTCTATTTTTTTTTTAATTTTTTTTTACATTTGTTTGCAAAACTAAAAGCGCTAAGCATTTTGTAGAAAATACTTCCAAACTCTGTTGACCATTTAATACATCTGCAATACACCTGCAGTAATAACATTTGGCAGTTTCAAATCAAACGATAGTGGAGTTTGACACAATTAGGCAAGAAAGTGCATAGTAAGTAAAATATTAATAAAAATTTCAACAAAGAGAAATTCTTTGAAATATTTCTGAGTATTGAAATATTTGTTACTGAATTACTTCTTCCCTCACATAGCACTGTTATACCATTCCTAATTTCAGAAACACTGTACCAAATGATACTGCATGAGATAAATGGCTAACAAAATATTTTAGTCTTTATGGAATGTACAAGCTTAGAACCCAAAATTATTAATAATAAAGTAGCCAAGCATTAAGTAGGATGTAAAAATAGGTGTCCTGGTTCAGAATAATAGTCTCCCTCAGAATACTGTCTCTAACAGTCACCAAACATAGATGCCTCAAGACGAACATGAATAGAGCAAACTCACATTAATGTTGTCAAAGAATATAGTTTTAACACCGAAGAACTTGTAGTTCAATAATTAGCAGTTTTATATTTAATTAGTTTCAATGGGTTTCTCTAAAGTAAACTTGCCATGCTGCCTCTTATAAATTTACAGCATCCACAATAACCAGTGGATACGAGATCCAACGCCTAACTAGACACTGTTCTACATCCAACTTAATGGTTTCTCTCCCATTTCCATCTGCTTTTACTGATTTAAACTAAATTTCATTTGTCATTTAAACATCCTATCAGTCCAGTAATGTCTTCCTGTGATTCTCCACAGGCAGCGTTGTCTTTAAAAACTCTTCATAACTTATGATCAGCAAATATCACTCTTTATCTCCTTTACTTATGAGTCTGTGATGAGCTACAGAACCCTATGAATCTACAGCTGAGATTCCCAATCTCTTTCCATCACTCCTTCATTCACCATATATGAATCACAGAATCATAGAATGCTTTGGGTTGGAAGAGACCTTTAATATCATCAATTTCCAACCTCCCGCTACAGGCAGGGACACCTTCCTCTAGACCAGGGTGCTCAAAGCCCCATCCAGCCTGGCCTTGAATGCTTCCAGGGAGGGGATATCCACAACCTCACGGCTAGCACGGGTTTTTAGGTTCACCCTGGGACCTGAGGATCAAGATCTTTCTGCTAAACCATAGGTGCAATTTCTCCTTGGAATTCTCTGTCCCACCAGTACCCCATGATCTTTGTTTCAGATGGTTATATTTTCCCATTTGCATTCTGCTTTTACTTCAGATCTCATTGCCTACCTCTATCCAACAGTACAGCAGATTTAGTGGCTCACATATCTCACCTAGTTGCGTGTGGATGCTTCTCACTCAAACCTCCTGTTACGGTTTCAGCATCTACTGTGTCACCTTGTATGATGGTGCTCTCTTTGCCCCCCACTTTGCCTGGTCATTATGTCCAAGGCCTAGTGCATACAATGAGGTGCAAAGGGCCTTATCCTTGGGACTAATAACAATCAAAGTTTCACCACTGGCACTCAGACACCTAGTAACAGAAACCTAGCTCAACAGAACCAATTCTAAGTTGCATAACTACAAGTCAGTCATCTTACTCTATAAATAGCAAGCAGGCAAAGAATCCCCTGAAAAGTGTTCTTGCAAGCAGCGGGCTGCACACCAGAATCTCCCCTTGAGCAGGGATGCTCCTCAAGGTGCAGAGATGCATTCAGAACATGGTTACGCCTTGCTAACAGATCCTTGGCAAACAATTTACTGTTTTTAAGTTATACTAGCTTTGCTAAGATTTGATCTTAGATTCATTATGCACCCCCCTACCCTCTATGTAGGAAATAATAAAGGCTATTTAGCTATTTTGAATCTTGTTAAGTTGCTGTTATAATTGCTCAAATTACCACCTTAGTTATATCAATAAATATCTTTCTGCCTTTTGAGAGGAGCGTGCAGTGCTTTGGTCTCCTTCGACAATACCTTGCAAGGTAGAAAACCCCATTATATTGCAGCGTATAAGGAGTTGACTTCCTCGAAGTCAACATTTTTAATCCTCTTCTCAGGATAGAAGACGAACACATGTCATATCACCACTATGGATTCTCCAAAACCTAAGCTCACAATCTCTAGCAGGTATGCTGAAAGGACTCCAGGCAAACCACACAGAGCAGCACTTATTCAGGTGATAGAGTTGCTATCAACTGCTGTTGCTCAGCAATGCACACTACTGTGTCCATTCTGGAAACAAAACCGACTTGACTACTTCCTCCTCCATTTTCACTTTCCTGCACAGATGTGTGATATAGTACAAACTTGTGAAAGGGTATAAAATCCTGTTTAAATCCAAGTCACAATAGTGGCAAAAAGGTAGCAGCAAATGCTTGAGATTTAGCCAGCAAGCCAAGAAAAATGTTTCACTGTGTTCCTACAGCTTCTCCTGCCCTTTTTAGCTACATTAGGCAAATACAGGTGTGTTCATAGCAATACTTTTCATTGTCCTCTCAGAAAAGAAATGTGCCAAGGAATCACAGTATCACCTGCAAATTTCCCATTGTCATCTGCGATTTTAATAATGATTGTTGTTAGAATTCATGATTGCTATTATTCACTGATTTGCTGACTTAAGTCATCCGGTGCAAGATTCTTTCTAATGCTTTAATGCTTTCCTTTTCCACTATTTTTTAAAAAAAGTGTTATTTATCTGTGAATTCAACATAAACCAACAATCGTATTTTGAGGTGGGGAAACCTGAATCTTACATGGGGCTTCGATCTAAAAGAAAATGAAAAAAAAAAAAAAAAAGGGGGGGGGGGGGGGGGAAAAAAAAAAAAAAAAAAAAAAAAAAAAAAGAAGGAAGCCCTCAAACTGAGGGCTTGGGACCCTTAAGCCGCCACGCAGGAGCACCAGGGCAGGATTCACTGCAGTCCGCGGCTGACGGTGGCCTGCTCACGGCCACTTCGTGGGCTGTGAGCTGACACCCAGGTTGAGGGGCTCTGAGGGGTGGGACAGGGACTGCAGGTCTGCACGGAGAGAGGGAGGGACAGGCAGCACCTCGGGGCGCCTTACCCTCCCACGGAGGGGACGCAACAGGGCACTGCAGCCCGCCGCTACACGGCACCTGACTAACAAGAACGCGCACCGCGGCTCACCCCGGGGCTGCCAGGCTGCCACCTCCCAGCGCCCACCCCCGTTCTCGGAGCTCGACCCGCGGCGGCGTTCCTTCGCCCGCAGCCACTCCTCCCCGCGGCTTCGCGCACGCCAAAGTTTCGCCGCTCCCGACCCAGCGATGCGGGGTCCCTCCCAGGACCCGCCGCCCTCCGGGCCTCCCCCCTCACCGTCCCAGCTCGGACTCCAGATCGAAGTAGTGTGTCAGGGTGTCCTTGTTAGAGCCGTCGATCCAGTAGTCGGGCGCGGGGCGGCCGGCCGAGCCCGAGGCAGAGGTGGAGGGCATGGTGACTTTCAGCGGGCCGGGACGGACACCGGGCAGTCCCCCACTCTGCTCCGCACCGGCTGTAAGCTGGAAGCGACGGGGCTGCTAGAACAGCGGCTGCAGCGGCTTCCCAACGGCACCCCCAGCTCGGGGGGCGGGCCCGGGGCGGGGCGCGGGGCCGAGGGCGGGAGCTCGGCTGCTGCCGGTGGTGGGCGTGGGGCCGGGGCTGGGCGGTGGGCGGTGGCGCTGGGACGCGGCCCGGCAGGAGGCGAGCAATGCGGCTTCCCGGCGCAGAGCTGGAAGGCGGGTAAGGAGATGAAATTGCCGTGCTGCAATGGCACTCCGAGCAGGTTATGAAATCTGCAGCTAATGCGATACGTGCAGATGTAACATATTATATCGCTGGGTATAGCGATCCCAGCAAGGAGTGTCGGTGCGAAGGCAGCTTCTGTTGGTATGCTGGTGAGATCCAGCAGCAGCAGCAGCTGTGCGTTCCTCGCATGCACCGCACCAGCCGCTCCACGGCCTTGCCGTGCCACGCACTCACCGCCGCCCCCGTGCACACGGGCCATGTGCAGGCCGCGCCGCAGCTCCGACATCGTGTCCTGTCCTCCCGTCACACGCCTGCTTCTGAACGCTGAATTCCCTACGTAGAGCATAGCGTCCTTTTCAGTGCTGGGTGTATAGCCGTGTTTCTCAACCTGGCTTGTTTTCCCCCTACAAACAAGTCTGACTCCTGCTATTCCTCTTCTTCCTTCCCTAACTCGGGGGCAAATGATCTCCAATTTTAATTTCTTAATTCATCAAAGGGCTACATGTATATAAATAAAGATAATAAAGAAGAAAAGCTCTTCTTTGTTCAGTCAGATAGTAGAAAAACATGTTAGTCTGCCCTTTTCAAATGGAAGGATAAAAAATAGAAATACAAGACAAAAGAGAGGTAATGCCCTTTCCCATCAAGTTAACTTATTGCTGTTTTAAAATTAAAATACAGATCCCCATCGTGATTTGAGATTGCATCATTTCCAAACTAATCTTGGGAAGAGTGAAAAAAAAGTAATCCTGAGCCGTGCTTTGAGATCCAGAATCCCCTCAGACCCACAGTATGCAGAGCCTGACCAGGCTGGGGCTGGCAGTGGGTACACAGCATTTCACTGTTGATCGTGCCTGCACCTAGCTCTCTGCTGACCCTCTCTCTCCTGGCCAGCATGGAACTTTTCTTCATAGAGCTTTGGTTGCTAGGTGATATTTCCTTCTTTCTTCTTATGGCATTTTCTGACACATCTCCTGAGAAAAGGAACGGTCACTGCTTGTGAAAACCCCATACGCTCACAGAATGGCCAATCAGCGCACTATAAGGCAACTGTGTTCTGTACTGTTTTTGTTCAGTCACATATCTAACATATTCCGTAACCCATAGGGTACATATGTGTTGAGGATTTTTTTGAACAGTTTTAGTGGATTTTTTTTTTTATCAGATTCATATCTCAGGTGTTCTAGATATGCTTCTTATGGGACTTTCTTTGTTAATGGCATAGCAGCAGCAGATCTTTTTATGTACTGGGCCACGTAGGTAGAATTAGATCATCTGTAAAGGTCCCTTCCAACCCAAACCATGTGAAAGGCACTGACTTCCCTTAAAATCCTGTCTCAAAGTGAGCTGGGTCACACCATATTGACAACCAAGTACTTTAAGACTGACTGGCCTTGTTCTCCAGAAACTCCATAGAATCACAGAATCATTATGGTTGGAAAAGACCTCTTAAGATCACCAAGTCCAATCATCAGCCCATACCCACCATGTCCAAAACTATGTAACTCAGTACCACGTCTGCATGTTACTCAAATACTTTCAGGGATTTCCTCCACCTCCCTGGGTAGCCCAAACCAGTGCATCACCAATCTGTCTGAGAAGAAATGTTTCTTAATATGCACCTGAACCTTCCTGGAAATGAAGAAAAAGAAGCTTAAGAAGAAAAAAAAAAAGATAATATAGCAATATGTAAATACAATCATATGCACTTAAAGTCTTCAGGTTGCATACTGTGTGTGACCAGCACATGAAAGCCCCTTTCAGCCTCCAGAGAACCAAGGCAGCATTTCAAACATGAGGTGCTCTGGTTGTGTCAGAGATTTGTTCACAATGCACTGATTTGCATTGTCATTGCTGGACAAAAGATTAAACTGCTAAGGAAAACTCATTTATGTATTTATGGCATGCTGTGTGTGAAATTTTATTTTGGAGACACAAATACTATAGTTTTCCTGACAACAAACCTAGGTTACAAATTCAGAGGAAAAATGCAGGTTCAGGAGGCGTGCAATTTTTGCAAAGGAAGCAGTTTTTATAAACACAAAAATAAAGACAGAAACTGTCAAACCTCCTACCCCTATTCTACCACTTACAAATTAATCTTAAAGCAGAATGTTTATCTGGTGTGTTGGTGGATATGGGATCAGTAATCTTTCTGCCCTCCTCTGGCTGTGATTCTGCCTTGTGAAATAATATTACCCTTTTGTACAGTCATTACTATACTGGATATAAGCAGTTCACAGTTCACAGAATTTCCTTCAAAAATAAACACAGGACAAGAACTTTTTAAACTTTGCTTCTAATCTTTCATACAATTCTAGCAGCTAGATCTTGGGAAGAAAACATAAGAACAAGCAAATTCTGTCCAGAGTTTTGAACAGCTTGTTCGTAAGTTGTGTACATGTATTGAAAGAGCAGTATGTTAGCCTTGCCATCTTAGGCCGGTATTCTTCAACAAACTGCCTTCAACCAGCATATATATTCAGGATATTAAAATAAAAAGGATTTGTCCCATAGGCATATACAGAAAGTGTTGCTTATTGAAGGTACAAAGTGTCCGTATGCAAAATAGAAAACATAGTTATATGTAATAAGCACTCTGTCAGAGATTGTGAATTGTGATTGTGTCATAGAATCATAGAATCTTAGAATCTTAGAATCATAAAATGGCTTGGGTTGCAAAGGACCACAATGATCATTTCATTCCAACCCCCTGCTATGTGCAGGGTCGCCAACCAGCAGACCAGGCTGCCCAGAGCCACATCCAGCCTGGCCTTGAATGCATCCTCAGGGATGGGGCATCCACAGCCTCCTTGGGCAACCTGTCACCACCCTCTGGGACAAAAAACTTCCTCCTCATATCCAACCTAAACCTCCCCTGCCTCAGTTTAAAACCATTCCCCCTTGTCCTGTCACTATCCACCCTCGTAAACAGCCGTTCTCCCTCCTGTTTATACACTTCCTTCAAGTACTGTAAAGCCGCAATGAGGTCTCCTTGGAGCCTTCTCTTCTCCAAGCTAAACAAGCCCAGTTCCCTCAACCTTTCCTTAGGAGAGGTGCTCCAGCCCTCTGATCATCTTAGTGGCCTCCTCTGGACCTGTTCCAAGAGCTCCACGTCCTTCCTGTACTGGGGGCCCCAGGCCTGGACACAGTGCTGCAGATGGGGCCTCACAAGAGCCGAGTAGAGGGGGACAATCACCTCCCTCTCCCTGCTGGCCACCCCTTTTTTAATGCAGCCCAGAACACAGTTGGCCTTCTGGGCTGCAGGTGCACACTGCTGGCTCATGTCCAGCTTCTTGTCCACCAGGACCCCAAGTCCTTCTCTTCAGGGCTGCTGTCAAGGAGATCTTCTCCCAGTCTGTGTAAATACCTGGGATTGCCCTGACCAAGTGCAGCACATTGCACTTGGCCTTGTTGAACCTCATTAGGTTTTCTCCACTTCTCCAGCCTGTCCAGGTCCCTCTGGATGGCTTCCCTTCCTTCCAGTGTATTGATTGCACCACTCAGCTTGGTGTCATCTGCAAACTTGCTGAGGGTGCACTCGATGCCATCAACTGTGTCACTGATGAAGATGTTGAAGAACACCGGTCCACTGAGGGACACCACTTGTGACTGGCCTCCACCCTGACACAGAACCACTGATCACAACCCTTTGGCTGCATCCAGCCAGCCAATTCTTAATCCCTCCAACAGTCCATCCTTCAAATCCACACTGCTCCAATTTAGAGAGCAGGATGTGGTGAGGGACCATGTCAAAAGCTTTGCAGAAGTCCAGGTAGATGACATCCACCATCCTTCCCCCATCCACCGAAGCCATCATTCCATCATCGAAGGCCACCAGATTGGTCAGGCACAATCTGCCCTTGGTGAAGCCATGCTGGCAGTCTCAAATCACCTCTTTGTCTCATATGTGCCTTAACATACCTTCTCTCCAAACAGTTTGCAGGCAGTAGGTCTTTCTTCCTGATGCAGATGATCCAGTATTGTAAACAACTTTTACATTCATTTTCTTGATCTAATGCCTGTGGTATTATATGCCATGCATATAATGCAGACTAGGTCTTTTAAAAAAAAAACCTCTGGATCCAAGCCTCTGTAGTATATGCCCATCAGCTAGGAATGCCAAAACCCTCTGTATTGTCTCTGTTGGAAAATAGGCCTTACGACTTCTATTGGACAAGTTTCTCATAGTCTCATATGTCATCATATTTAATGCTGTCTTACATGTAAATCTGAGCCTACTTATTGATTTTTAGAACTGCTGGATAAAGACAGATTCTTTTATCAGCTGTTTATGTGAGTAGATTAAATCTGGTAAGAATGAGCACAGAGTGCAATGGTAGGCCATCAGAAGAGTAATGGTTGGGATTATGTGTTCTTATGCCGTAAGAGGGAGAACAAGCTGTCATGAAATCCTTCACAGAGTGGCAATAGAGTGGAAAGAAGGGGGGTAGCAACAAGCTCAGATGTTTTGAAGTCTAGACCACTCTTTTACCAGTATCTGGTGAAAGGAAATGCGTAAACAAAGATAAAAAGGCGACTGCCTGAGGAAGGACAATTAGAAAGCAGTGTGATTTAGCCATTCCTGAACCACACTCTTTGTGCCCCAGTTATCAGTAGGATCATTTTATAATCATTGTAGGAGGATACATGGAACTGCTACCTTTCCAAGATAGTCATGGCTCTCATCTTTTGTGTCCCTTTTTTAAATGATTCAATCAATCCTTTGATTTCTAGAGTGTAGAAGGGTTCTTGAAGCTCATTTTCAGGATCAAAACATACTTTTACTCGCTAAAGAAAATAATGCTGACCCACATGATTTC